TGAAATTCACGGGATGCGAAACAGTATTTAAAAGCTGACATGGGAGGTTGGGAGTGCCAAGACAGGTGGGGCGTCCATCTCAACTTTTTCAAGGTCCACCTGACCTGTGTACTCTTGATATTTACTGATCCATCCATAGAAGAACCTGATTAATATCATCTGCACATGGCGAGTATTTGTTGTATTAGAGGTGGTGCGGTACCACTGACTGGATACTGGAGGGGTAACACGAAGATATTGTACTGTATGCAATATAATGTGGCTCATCTCGCAGATTGTTAGCTCAGTTATGTTGAGGCGATAAGGCTCGGTAGGAGTGGGTTCATGATTGGGATGACTAAAGGGCAGGGGCAGTCCCGGTCGCGGCACTGAGTGAGATGACTCACTAGATGACGGCCGATCATCGTTCTTTCGATTGAATCGCCATAGGACGATATCAGGATTTAACGGCCAGACACCTACCGATTTTCACGAAGAAGCGATATACTCAGCAGATAAAGCGCTCTCCCATGACGGCCAAAAGAGGCGAAAAGGTCTCTTTCGTAATATGACAAAGGCCTTGAGATTCATGAAGAAATTGTTCTGATCTCTCGCTGTACGTTGTAAAGAGAGGCCTGAAGATTCCAACCTCAAGTAGCTGGAGCAAATGCATATACGTCAGCAACGCAGAATTTTCTTTAGTCAGCTTATTGGCAGCCTCGGGCTGCGTTTCTAGATCTCACAGGTTACCTCTCGCCCAGAAATCCCGATATTCGTGTTGGCCCATTGAAGGGAAAAATTGCACTATAGGAAGATTCTACGAAGGGGAAGAAACTTTTGGAGCACAAATGATCACCCGCGAATTGCGCGACGGGTGAGGATCCTGGGTGATTAAGCGGCCTCCCCATTCTCACCTCTTTTCCAATTAACCTAATGAGTGTGTGTATAGACATTCTCTAACGCCTTATTTACTCGCTCTCCAGTCTTCCTTGATGAGGTCCGCTGCTCTTTCCGCGAATGCGTACACAGTAGCTTGTAGATTCGCTGTACTTACAAGCGGGATAGCACTCGCATCCACAACCCTCAGTCCTTCGATACCATAGACCCTCAAATTGGAATCCACCACCCCGTCTCTCTCGCGAGGCAGCATGGAACAGGTCCCCGCAAAGTGCCACATGGAGACTAAATTCTCCCGAGCATACTTCTTTGCAGCATCTAAGTCTCCCTGGAAGTCTGCAACTGGGTCACGGAACTTCAGTGGCTGTTCGAGCAGCTCCCCAAGCTGAGGTGACTCTGCTAAGTTCTTAATACCAAGCAAATGCCGTGCTATGACTTCCAGATCGAGAGGATTCGACAGGTAACCAGGATCAATGATTGGAGGGGTTTCAGGATTGATGGAGGTACTTGAGTTCTTTTTGTCAGATTTGGTGAATATACGGTTTGTTGGGGTGGGGTGCATATGAAGAGCCAGGAGTAAAGAACCTCTTACAATCTCTAGCAGGGAAGAAAACAAAAAGTTTACTCACATATGAACGCTTCCGCGGGAAAGCGGTTGAGAAAGCATTACTCCAAGCGTGACGAACTTTCCAGGCGAAGGAGCTGGGACAGTCTCATCATTGAGGTCTTTGGCATAATTCGTCTGCCCTAAGGCAGACAGGTATGCAGCTGATGGTTGCTTGGAATCAAGAACCGTGGTCTTCGCGATGTCGTAATAGGCTCGTGTCGCCCTGTGCTCTCGTGAGTTTTCGGGGGCGTAGTTTGTAAATAATGCCTGGAGAGCACTTCTGTCCGGTAAAGGAAGAGGCAAATAGGCGTAGGTGTGAACCCCGAGTGAAGCTAAGGGCCCAGACTGTGTGGAAGTGTATTCCTGCATTGCCTGACCGAGGGCTTCAGGCTCTTGTCTGATCAGAGAGTCCTTAGTCTCAAGTTCAGCCTTTGCTTGAAATGCAGTGTACGATATCATATGATCTAAAAGTGATAGATATTAGTTTAAATCCGTCCCAAAGCGAGTATGCATCAAAAATGGGGATAGTTTAACAGTATTTGAGAGCCAAATCAAGATCAACAATACAAAGGTTTTGAATGTGCTAGATTGGAAGCTGTTCACATACCCTGAAGATTCTGCCCAACTCCAGGAAGGTTCATG